CAAGCTGGTACGACCCCAGCCGCTATTCATCAAAGTAGGATGTAGAACATTATCTTTGTGGGCTGTGTTATAGTTGACTTTGATGACCCCCAGACCACAGTGCTGGGCCCCCAAGCCCAGTAACTCATGCCTTCAAAGTGCTTGGTTATGGCTAAGCAATTGCCATAGCTTTGACTCCACTAATAGGCACATACCATTACTCCCAGTTTATAGGTGAAAAAGATGAAGCAACAGAAAGGTGTGGTCACTTACTTAAGGTCACAAAGCAGTGCCCAATCAGGCCTTGGGCCAGGACATGACCAGCTCTAGAATCTTGTTCTTATCCAGCTAGTTACAACTGCAGATACCATGGGATTTTCCAGAAGTCCACTGCTGGGTTATGATGGTGCCACCCCATCTATTTCAGGCCTCTTGTGATCTTGGTGAACCTGACCTCTGTTCTGTGACCTATGACCCTGGATTGTTAGAAAGCAACAGGAGTAAGAAGCAAGGAGCTGCTTTTTGCTGATGGGCTCTGCGTAAGCATGCATGCCTTTTTACCAGGTGGCAGATCCAGGGATCCCAGGGCTTGGTGTTGTACGTCCCGCACCTCTTGGTTTTGGTCCACCCTAACTCTCTCGGGCAGCTGTCACTGTGCACCCTAACGGAGGAGCAAATGGAAACTCTAAAGACAGCCGCTAGTAAGCGGGAGCTGTGGGTCCAACTCTGTCTGATGTGTGCTGCTAACTCTGCAGGTGGCACTTTTCACTAAGCTGCTCTGCTTCGCGGGAATGAGGAACCGGGAGCGTTTGCTGCTCCACAGAAGCGATGTGTGGGTAGGTCAGCCTCCTTAGTAGCCACAGGCCAGCACTTTCCCTGTCCCCCTGGTCCACCACTGCCAGGTGTTGGGCTTCCAGGGAGGCAGCTGTGTGGAAGGAGCCCTGGTTCCAGTGAAGACCTAGATCCCGCAGTGTGGCATTGGGCACGTGTTTGGGTCCCTGTTTCCTGGTGGGGCTACAACAGAAATTCCACAAGTGGGTCACTTTACCGAGCAGAAATGTGCTTTTTCTCGGGTTAAGAGGGCAGCAGGGAAGAACTCAGGGCAGTTGCTCTAGGGCAGTGTTTCTCAACCTGTGGGTCGCGACCCCTTTGGGGGTCAAACGACCCTTTCACAGGGGTCGCCTGATTCATAACAGTAGCAAAATGACAGTTAGGAAGGAGCAACGAAACATGAGGACCTGTATTAAAGGGTCACGGCATGAGGAAGGTTGAGAACCACTGCTCTTGGGTAAGTTGCCCTCTCTGCCGGCCCTGGAGGAAGATCCTGGGCTTGACAGGTGGCTTGGTTTCTCGGTGACCCTCATGCTGGCTTCTGCTTCCCTAGTGCGTGCTTGCTCTTTCCTGTGTCTAATCTGCCCCACCCCCGTTTATTTCTTTTTATTGTTGTGAAAAATACATATATAAACATAACATTTGCCAACTCAGCATGTCGCAGGGGTACAACTTATTTAATGAAATTGGTCTCATTGATCATGTTCTACAACCGCTGTCTGTCACTGGGGATCTTCCTCTCGTGTCTACATAACTCACTGCTCCCCTGCCCGCTCAGCCAGGTGCCACAAGGGAAAGGTGATTGACAGTGTGGCTCTTTCATCAAAGCGAAAGCATCCACTATTTGCTCATTTGTGTCTGACGGGTTCCACTCCGCCTCGTGTTTTCCCGGTCATCCGTGCTTTCTCGCTGACCGAGTACTACCCTGGGTCTGCTCCATCCTCTGTAGCCACTACACCTTGCCCAGGATTCAGCCAGGTGCATGTAGGTTCTTTCTACGTTTTGCCTATTCCGAACCGTGCTGAAGTATGGAAAAGGAGCCCCGGTTGTACATTGGTTGTGTTGCCAACCAAAAGGTCGGTGGTTCAAACCCACTGAGCGCTTCACAGGAAAAAGATGTGGCAGTCCACTTCCGTAAAGATTTACCGCGTGGAAACCCTAGGAGCAGCCCTACCCTGTCCTGTAAGCTTTCAGGGAAACGGAACCAACTCACTGGCAGTGGATTTGAGCTTCCTTCCTTTCTTCCACGCTGTCTACTCTTTGAGTATCTTAACGCTGATTAGATTGAAGACACAGCTTACACTGATACGGCTCATTAAGATAACACAAAACCCTATTCCCAAATGAGACTGCATCCACATTCATTCTGGGAGGGGGATAGGGGCTGCGGGGGCTCACAATTCAATTCAGAACACCTGTGCACTTCTTCGACTGTGCTGTAAAGTGAGGACTAGAACCACCCCTTCCTCAGTCCAAACACGGAAGCATAGATGGTGATTCTGAGCTGGCCTTGAGATACGCAGGCAAGTGTGGGTGTTTCCTGGGGTGTTCAAAAGAACCTGCTGAGCTTCTGATTCCTTGGTGTCCTTGAAGAACATAACCCAGTCTGTGGTTAGTGGGCCGGAGAGGAGTAGGTCTTTGGCAAAACTTCCCCTGTGGATTTTGAAATACCATTTTCCTTTCCTGGTGTTGAGCTCTATGTTGAAACATGCCATCAACGTGTTAGAGTGGTAAGAACAGTTATTCAAGATAGAGATAAAAACTCAACCCCAAACAGGTGGTTTTAGACGATGGCAGTAAGCGGAGACCCTCTCTGAGGGGAGCAATGAGGCTGTCGGTTTCTGCAGGAACCCTGTGGCATAGTGAGTTTATGCGTTGGGCTGCTAAGGTCAGCGGTTCGAAGGCACCAGCTGCTCCGAAGGAGGAAGATGAGGCTTTCTGCTCCTGTAAAGATGTACGGCTCAGACACCCATAGGGCGGCCCTACCCTGTCATACAGGGCTGCTGTTGCTTGGAATCAGCTTGATGGCAGTGAATTTGGTTTTTATGACTTGGTGTGCTCCTGTAAAGACGTACAAAGCCTCAGAAGCCCTGTGTAGGGTCACTGTGAGCCGGGGTCACTGGACGGCTGTGGCTTTTATCCAATATCTTTCTGATGAGAACAATTGCAATACGTGATTTACAGCTAAATATGTATGGATTGTTGGATGTAAAATTGATGATCTGTTCTGTAAACCTTCACCCAATTCCCAATAAAAGATTTTTAAAAACCGTGGTTCAAATTTTACCATCACCACATCCACCCCACCCACCCACCCCCACTAAGGATTTTTGACATTGTGTAGAGACGTTTTTGGTGGTTATCCCCCAGGGTGGGGTGGGGTGGTGGCCCTGGGATCTGGGGTGCAGAGGGCCAGGGAGGCTGCAAAGCATTTTGCAGTCAGTCCACAGACTCACACTTAAAACAGAGAGTTATCTGACCCAAAGCTTTGATGGTGCAGAGGTTGAGAGACCCTGCCTTCTAAACACCCAGCTCTTATGTATTATTTACTGTGTGTTAGACAGTGTTCTCAACCTGTGGGGCGAGACCCCTTTGGGGGTTGAATGACACTTTCACAGGGGTCGCCTAAGACACATATTTCCGATGGTTTTAGGAACCGAGACACTGCTCCTCTATCCGTCTCCAGGCGGGTCTGCCCACATGCAGATATGCCCACATCTGAGTACCTGGCATGAAGACTGCTATCCATGCTACACCATGTTTCAAGACAAAATTTCATTTATTTGTAATTAGAAATAAATATTTCACAATATGTAATTATTATTTTTGTGATTAATCAGTATGCTTTAATTATGTTCAATTTGTAACAATGAAAATACATCCTGCATATCAGATGTTTACATTATGATTCATAACAGGAGCAAAATTATAGTTATGAAGTAGCAAGGAAAATAATTTTATAGTTGGGGGTCCCCACAACATGAGGAACTGTGTTTAAAAAGGGTTACAGCATTAGGAAGGTTGAGAACCACTGTTCTAAGAGGTTCTTAGATTTCCCAGGTGGGAAATACCTTGGTCCTTGGCTTTGTACAAGAAAGAACTCACGACAAAGCCTGGTTTGTGACCCAAGTGGTTTTTTAATAAAGGATAGAAGCCGTTTCAGGCGATACAGTAAACTGAGCACAAGCCAGAGAGAGAGAGAGAGACCGCGGCCCAGCTACTCAGGACCTTGGCCCGGCTGTGCTGAACTGTGTAGGAGTCGCTGGGAGAGAATGAGAAAGCGAGCTTCTAGCTTTTCAGGTACTGGTTTGACCCCATTGGCTGAATTAAACTTACCTGGCCTAGGTCAGGCCATACCAGGTATATACTGTCCACCTAGGTGCACCACCTCTTCCTGTCTCGGAGCCCATGCCCAGTGGACACTCTGGCCCCTGTTCTAACTACCTAACAAAGTGTATAGGTATTAACTCGTTTCATCCTCCCACTTTATGAAATCGGAGCTAGTATGACCCTCATCTGGCAGAGGGGAAAGTAGGAGCTAAATGACTCCTGGACTCAGCTCGTCTTTGAGGTCAGCCAGGATCTGAATGCTGCCCTCAGATGCAGTACGTGTGCGTTTAGCCACTGTGCTAGGTGGAGCTGTGCTTACTAAGGCTTAAAAATACAAACACCACTTGTGGCGATTTGACTGTGACGCTTGGTGAACGTGTGTCTCAGAGTAGAGTTGTGCGTATTCTGTGCCTGTGACCTTTCTTGAGGGCACCCCTGGGTGGGCTGGAACTACCGACTTTGGCTTAGCAGCCAAGTGCATCAGTCTACAGCATGAGTACCTCCTCATCAAGGCTAGTTGGCGTTCAATCCGTTTTTCTGTCTTGTGTGCAGAAAACCACATAACTAGAAATTTGGAGGCAGGCTCTCTAGAAACTCATTTGTCTTCATTGAAAAGACTGACATGGGAAAGAGGGTGAGATAAGGGGCCCAGGGACCCATCGGTGAAACCTTGTGTTTTGCAGGTTGTGAGTGAGACTCTGCTCACAACTCTGATGACGCTCGGGGTCTCAGGAGAGTGGATTGTGGGCAAATCACCTCTGGTTCCTTTGCTCTTCAAGCTGGGAAATCAGCTGTGGGTGAGGAGAGCTGATGTGACTGGATTTCACTTTCCAGGAACGGACTGTATTGTTTCCTTACAGATGTGAAGACCACCGTGGTTTACCCTGCCACAGAGAAACACCTGCAGAAGTACCTGCGCCAGGACCTCCGGCTGATCCGAGAGACCGGAGACAATTACAGAAATGTCACACTGCCCCACCTGGAGTCCCAGAGCCTCAGTATTCAGGTACCTGGCCGCCCCATGGGTACCAGCACTGGGGAGCTGTGACTGCCTGCGGTCAGCTTCTCCTTTAACAAGTTTTCTTTGAGGAAGGTTTAAGAAGCCCTGGCAGCAGTGTGATGTCTTGGGCTGCTATTCGAAAGATCAGCCACGTGAATCCTCCAGCTGCTCCTTGGGAGAAAAAGGAGGCAGTCAACTCCCGAAAAAATGTGCTGCTTGGAAACCCTAAGGAGCCGTTTGTTCTACTGCCCTTTCGGGTCTCTATGAGGAGAGTCAGCTTGATGGCAGGAGGATTGGTTTGGTCTTGTCCAGGGCCAGTCACTGTGGCAGACGTGGGTGCTGTAGCAGAGAACACGTGGGCAAGGTCCCGCCTTGTGTGCGTGCGTCCTTGTGCCGGAGCAGAGAATACACAAGTGTATAGTGACCATATCGGGAGCCCTGCTTATGCCAACGTTGGGCTGCTAACTGGAAGATAAGCTGTTCGAAACCACCAGTCACTCTGTTGGTTTCTGGAGTGGGTTATACCTCGGTTCTTTGCTTCGCACGCTGAAAGCGCGCCGAAGCCCGTTTTGTGATCCACATGAGTTTTTAGGAAGAACAAGAAGTTTCAGGTTTTACCATCTCAAAGGGGTACACGCTGTTTCTGGAAAATGTGCCAAGCTGCACGGGGCCGCGCTGGGGTTCACACCTGGGCATGAAAAACTATGTGGAAAAGAACATCCGCATATGCGGAACTGGGGAGTCCCTGGAGACTCATAGACCAAGAGCACAAGGGCATTGGGTCCTGAGTAGGCCCTGAGAGACCCCACCCCTGTACCCCCGACCCCTCGCTGAAGCACAGGAGCACAGTGAAAGAGCTGGCCTTTCCCCAGTTGGGTTATTTAACATCTCTGGCTGGGGAGGTGTGGTTGAAGGTATTGGTTGACCCCATTGTCTGCGTTCAGGCCCACCTGTGCGTGTGTGTACCCAAGGTATTTAACTGGGCCTAGTGTCCTAGTCTGTGTGTGCTCAGTTTGGGTTTTCCCATATGTGTCCAAAAGCTACCTGATTTCTTTCCAACCCTGTATGTGGCCCTGCCAGGCATTGGAGAGACAACCTTACTTGTCCCTAAAACTAGCTACCTTTCAACAACTCTGGACAAAGACGGGGCTTTCTACACCCATAAAGAGTTACCGTCTCGGAAACCCACAGGGCCAGTTCTGCCCTGTCACCTGCCCTGGGTCACCATAAATGGGCAAGGCCAATGGCAGTGTATTTAGAGTTTATCTGAAATATCAATGCTGTGGAGAAACGTAATGAGATAAAGGGGTGATAAAGTCCTGTCTGAGAGTTGGCTTCATTGATTTGTTGGAATTGACTTTGGTCTGGGGCTCCACCCAAGGTGCTTAGGCTTGCCAAGGAGGCTCTTTGAAGGATCCCAAAGCAATCCGGGTAGTAGCAAGAATCTGCATCTATGAATTTAGGTTTTGTTGTTAGCAGGCAACCCAATGCACAATGGATCTGCCTACACCACCACCCCTCCAAAAGACTGGCTGCAGAGCAGGTCCTTGTGATCCGTGGGTCTCCAATGGCTGCCTTTCAGAAGCAGGTTCTCAGGCTTTGTTCTTACTTCATCTTAGTGATCATAGCCGTATGTGCACTCCACAGGCAGTCGTGGTGGCCAACGTGACATGCATATTAGACTCTGATGACTCTGACCTTGGCAAGGTCAGAGTAAAGACTGATGCTGAGGTAGGCCCACCCAGCCCAGACGTCAACCCGCCTCCAGGAGCTGAGGCTCCTAGTCAAACCTTCCTCACTCTGGCCACTCGTTCTCCAGAGAGCTGGGGTGGGGGGTGGGGGACACCTCATCCTCCTCTCCCAGTGGCCAGGGAGCCATCCAATTGGCAGACGCTAGGTCAGCAGAGTGTTTTTAGCCCTAGGCCAGATGCTAGGCCATTTAGCCAAGAGATCCTAATTCTCTGTGGGCCCAGAACCTCTGCTTGCAAACTGGCCCGGTGGGCATACTCAGAAGTAAATCTGATTGATACTTACTGATGAGCCTTGTTCTTATTGACTTGCTGGCTCTCACTGCCTCCATCTCCTTGAAGGAGCTGTGGTGCTGTAGTAAGTCACGGTACCTTGTGCAGTATGTGCAGCTCCTCCAGTTTCAGGGCCAGTGGAGGTTCCATGGTGGAATTCTGAACTGCCAGGTGGGGAAACCTGGGTTCCAGCCTGGCTAACAAACCTCATGCACGCCACCTCTCCGCTGTCAGTGGAGACGTTTGTGTGACTGATGCTGAACAGGTTTCAACAGAACTTCCAGACTAAGATGGATGAGGAAGAAAGACCTGGTCTACTTCTGAAAGTCAGCCAATGGAAACCCAAGGCATCACCACCCTCCAATTCCTAAGCAATCTTAGGGATGGTGCAGGAGTAGGGAACATTGCCTTCTGTGGTATATGGGCTCGTCATCGGTCAAGGCAGCTAGCAGCCACCACCACATATTTATTTGTTTGTTTTTTATTTTAAGTCTCAGCACTTGTTTTTTCCTCTGAAATGGCCAGAGGAAATGGGACCTTATCTTCCTAAATAGCATCTGCTGTTCAGAGTCCCAGAGAAGTCCCCTGGGATGTAGACTCTATTGTGCTGGTATGTGGGCTATGTGAGAGAAAGCCTTTAATAGAATGGCTATGAGAGTGCACGGGCTGTATTACACAGCACTGTACAGCCCCATGTGGAACATCATACTGAGGAGGAGCAGGGGCTGCTGCTGGGAAGAGAGGGATGGGGGCAGGGTTCCAGAAACTAGGAGCTCCTGAGCCGTGCTGATCATCAGCATTACTGGGTGAGAGTTTGATAAACAGACCATGGCACGCCTTCCTGATCTGCACACCCTCCCTGCCCTTCCCAGCACCCCCCAGGGTTCAGCCCATATCAGCAGGCCTGCCGCTGCCCTCCCCCCCTCTCCCCCTCCCCACAGGTTCTCCTAGGCTTGCTTTTGGACTCTCTCCTCCTAACCTTTATGGCTTGTCTGAACAACACTGGGTCCTTGTTTTCCCTGCCTTATCTGAGCATCTGACCCTGAGGCTTCCATGTGGATCAGGTCCCTCTCCCTAACCCTGTCCCAGAAAGCTCTCCTTCCCAGCAGGTAGGACTCAGCTATGTCTTCGGAGCCAGGCTTGCTCGCCGTAGCTCACACTCTTCCCTCACCTGCACAATCAGGAGATGCAGCCAGAGTGTGCGAGGGCTCATGCACACGCAGTACTCGGAACAGCGGCTAGTCCCAACGTCACCATCCCCTTCCTAGTGGTCCCTTGCTCCCAGACTAGCACCACCTCCTGCTTCCCTTTGCCCGGTCGCTCTAGCATTGTTCCCCAAATATATCCCCCAAACTGTCCTCCTGGAGCTCTCCAAGCACCCTCCTCTGCCCTCGGTGCCCGCCTCACGCTGGACTCTATGCCAGGCGCCTATGCTCCCCTGAAGGCCTCGCCACAACCCTGACACATGAATACTAATGGCCACCTTTTCCAAAAGAAGAAACCAAGGCAGAGAAGTTGAAGAATGTCACCCGGGGACAGCAAGTGGCAGATGAAACTGGGTCTCATTGGATTCTGTCTTAGTCCTGGTTCTCTGGGGAAACAAAACCCGTGAGAGATTTGAGGAGGGAGGGTTTCAAAAAGTTCATGGAAACAGAATTAAAAGATCATGGGGTTGGAACGAGGGAACCGATTACAAGGATCTATATGTGATCTCCTCCCTGGGGGACGGACAACGGAAGAGTGGGTGAAGGGAGACGTCGGACAGGGCAAGATATGACAAAATAATAATTTATAAATTATCAAGGGCTCATGAGGGAGGGGGAAGGGGGAAGGGAGGGGAAAAAATGAGGACCTGATGCCCGGGGCTTAAGTGGAGAGCAAATGTTTTGAGAATAATGAGGGCAATGAATGTATAAATGTGCTTTGCACAATTGATGTATGTATGAGCCCCTTATAAAACGATTAAAAAAAATAAAAAGAATAAAAGATCATGGGGAAATTTCCATAAAGTGTTCCAAGCCCCATTCATATAGAGAGAGGTTGATTGGATGCATTAAGGAATTGTTTCATGCAACGATTGGTGAGGTCTCATCGGTGAGTTCAAACTGTGTGGGTCAAGTGACAGGCTAGAGACAGCTAGTTAGCTGCAGGGCTGTGGGAGTCCCTAAGCCAGGCAGCTGGCAGACTGGAGAGCGGGCATTCTGGGGACATGGCTGTCCACCCTCTATGGCAGCGCACCCCCAGGCCGGCTCCCTTTGTGCTCGTAAGGCCTTTAGCTGACCAACCAAGGCCCAGACTCCACCCCTAACATGTTGGTGGGCTAAATAGACTTCACTTATGGCCAGCCGGTTTAAGAACATGTTGCCCTAACGAGTCTAGAGTAGCATTTTACCAAGTGGACACTTCCCCATCTCAGGCCCCACCACTCATGCTCTCTGGCCAGCAGTACCTGCTGTGTTCTCGCTGGGAGGCCCATGGTCCTTACCTCCGTGGCACACCAGGACTGTGGGAGGAGAGTCAGCCCTCTGCCTCCTGACTTTTCAGGAAGTGTCAGGTACATTTCCTGCGGGCTTTGTCCTTCATGCACACCCCAGAGCTCTTCTTCAGGGTGAGGAGTGTTCCGCGGGCTGGGTGTGCTTGCCCTGGTCCCCACGGAGTGGGAGGACGCCGCACTTCCAAGCTCTTCTTAGGAAGGCCCTTTGGGGGTGAGTGAGTCATTTTATGCCTGGCTTGACGGTCTTGCCAGGCAGTCTGTGAGGCCCCACGATCAGAAATGCCTCCCTTGAGTAGCTAATGGGAATCCCAGGTTCCTGTTTGTCCTGGAGGCCCAGCAATTCCCAGGCAGGTGCCCTCTGTGCCCTCCCTCTCCGCTGTGCTGGATCTTGGCTATACTGGCCTGGAGCTAAGAAGCAAGCAGTGCACAGTCCTCGAGGCCCAGGGTTTAAGGTGTGCAGGCTCTCCGCCAATCTCCCCGCCTGTCACTGCTGTGCCCACGGGTCTGGGTGGAGGGATAGGGGCTTTCCATGGGGTGTGTCAGTTCCCGCCCTGCTTGGAAAGCCCTTCAGGACCAAGAAGCAGATGTAGGCAGCTCTTTGGGGGAGTTAGAACCGAGCTCCCTCCATTCACTAGGTTTAGGGAAGAGTGTACTGCCTTGGGATATTGTAGATCTGCAGACGACTGTCAGCCACCGTTCAGGGGTCATGTTCTACCTCAGGCTTCCCCAGCCAGGCCGTCCAGCACATTTGATTATAAAATGACCTCCGAGATCACACGGTGCTGGAGAAGGGGTCCCGAAGACCACTGAGGACAGCTGCCTTCTCTCTGTGTGGCCCAGGAGGCATGTCATACAGCAAGGCTGGCTCCAGGCAGCCCAGGCCACCATCCCACCAGGAATAGAGCCCCTGTGGGCCGGAGGCTCTCACACATCCATTTCTAGAGCCAGGTCCCCTTCCTCATAGCCCTGGTGCTGCTTCCTTTGCCAGCAGTGAACAGTGCGCTCAGCCTTTGAAGCAGGTCTTTGCCCCACGTCTCGAAGAACTGAGCTCGGCTCCCCCAGACAGCCTCCCGTGCGCCCTGGGGGCAGTGGCGGGGTTGCTGCTTTGGGTGTAGCTGCGGGCTGTGCTGGTGAGGTCCCAGCCCAGGAGCTATGCAAAGTTGGCCAGGAATAGCTTACAGCGTGGGCCCACGATGCATGCTTGCTGGCAGTGAGAGGAGGGGCAGGATCCCTGAAGGACCCCAGAAACAATCTACTCAATAGCCAGGGTGGGGTTCCTTGAGCTTGGCGGGCTTTTAAGGCCAGGTTCTTGGGATGGGCGAGGCTGAGGGGTGGAATGGGCAGCGTTTATCTAACTAAGCACGAGGCGCCTCCCAAGGAACAATGGTTGGAAACATGAACCATCTTTCTGCCTCCCCCTTCCCAGTGGGTATACAACATTCTTGAGAAGAAGGCTGAAGCCAACCGGATTGTTTTCGAGAACCCAGATTCCTTGAACGGTTTTGTCCTCATTCCTGACCTCAAATGGAACCAGCAGCAGGTAAGGGCACCTTGGTAGGGACCCGCCCTTTTCTCTTTGGCCTCTTGCAGTAGATTGTGACGAGCCTGCACAGCAACTCTGAGCCTGTGCTGGTCGAGTGTGTGCCAGTTATGCACAAGTGTGCGTGCTTTCCTGCACCACCTTATCAAAGTCCTTTCCAGCTCTCCTCTCACCCAACGGTGAAGGACTGCAGCCAAGACCACCTTCCCTTGATATATAGACAGACAAGCAAGGTCTCAGTCCATGGGTGAGACGTCAGACTCGAGGCTTCTGAGGCTGATGAAGCCAAGATCAACAGGTAAGATGGCAGGCTGCTCACAAGTCCCAGGCAGGCAAGATGGCAAGCAAGTGGCTCAAATGCCAAGCCAGATGCATGATCCAAGCTCGGCAAAGGTCAGCATGCCCCGCCCCAAAGGAAGTCTTTGCAGTGGATTGGCTGTTCTTCCATCGTGGTAGAAAGTCTCACTGGGGCTTACTGTATCATAACACCAAACCACCAAGGATCCCGGCCCTGTCGATTTGACACACACCTAAACTGTCACAGCCAAGCAACCTGGGCTGCTGTCCCTGCTTCCAGGAGCACCTGAGGCATGAGCTGACCTGTTTCTACTCTCACCCTTCTCTTCGATACCAGCAGACATGAGCTCCGGGGACCCTTACCAGGGGTCCCTGGACAGCAGAGCAGGTCCTCTAGGAACCTAGTCTCCTGTGAGGAAGCCCACCCAGGCTCCTCGGGGCTCTGTCACCAGACTTCCAGTGCCTCAGGCGTCTCCCAGCCTCCCCAGGTGCCACAGCTTAGCCGATCCCTCTTCACTGACAAGAACCCCTCTCTGGTTCTTTGTCACTGCTCCCCCACCTCCTCTCCTTCCTCTCTCGACCACAATGATAATGTCTCCCCCTCCCCTGGAGGACACTTACACCGTAGCAGTCCTGGGAGCTGGCAGAGCCATACGTCCCTGGGGGTCCTGTTCACCCGAGGGCTGGGGCAGCAGCTGCGGGGTCAGGAGCAGGTCAGAGGCAGAGTGGAACCATAGCGAATCATCCAAGGAAAAGTTTTCCAAGTGGTGCGTTTCCTGCTTTGCGCCTGGCTTCTGTCCATCCCCCGCCCCCCGGTGGCGTTCTTCTCCCCTGACCCCTTCCCTCTGGCTTTCGCAGGTGTTGCCCACCCTCAGGCCTTGTGAGCACACCTGAAGTTTGCTTGGTTTAAATCTGGCAGTTTTCCAGAACGGCCACATCGTTCCTCCTTCAGCCAAAGGGAGCTGAGGCTCATCTGTGGCGAGGCCGCGTTTCTGCACTGAGCTGGCCAAGCAGTGAGTGGCATCGGTCTCCTGCGGGGGCTTCCTGGTTGTGGCTCAGGGCGTGGTAGGGACTTTGAGGAGAGTTTCCAGTGGTGGCAGCCTGGAATCCAGATTAGTGCCCAGGTAAGATCAGAGAGGGTAGCCTCTCTACATGTGGGCACTGCTGAGAGAGGCTGAGGAACACCTGCTTCTGCCCTCTGCATTTCCCTCCCTACCCCCAGCAGGCCTTGAAGGATGAAGCCAGCCCCGGTGCTGGAGATACTTAGGGAGCCTGGAGTGAAGCCACGGAAGCAGGAAGGCTGGTGGCCGCTCTGGGTGGGCAGTGCCCTCATCTGGCTGCATGCCCCTTTGTCTCTTCAAACGGCCATGTGCCTGGAGCGTTTGGATCCCAGACTAGGCCGTGGGAGCCAGGGCGGCTGGGAGAGCTTATGACTCACCAGAGCCCCGGAGATTGAAGAGCTCATGATTTCTGGGGAAACTGTGGTCTGAGAATGAGGCGGGGGTGGGGGGCAACCAAAGATCAAGTTATCTATTTCAGTTCACAAAATTCACGAAGACCAGGATACATTTGAGCCCATGGTCCTGGACACTGAACCCTATCATTCCTTTGGCAGCACCGCTGGGCACCCTGCCTTGTCTGCCAGTACAGGTACCCTCTCTGAGACCCCTTTCAGACAGGAAGGGCTCCCGGAACTCTACTGGGCTCTCAGCCATGTGGCTTGAATGCCTCCCCTTGGGGAAACCAAGTTAAATGTCAGCTTGCCTTAAGTGTGATACAGGTGGGACTGATCCTAACCTCTGCCTAACTCCCTTTGTCTCTTGGTCACACCGTATTTCAGTTTCTCAAAAGCCTGCCCTGTGACTGGGCACTGAAATCAACAGCTCCTTTAGAGTGGAGCAGCTGTGCCCAGGTGCGAGACATGCCACGCCTGCCTGGGCTTTTACCCTTTGTCCTGGGACGAGAGAATGAGTGAAGAGGAAGGTGCTCTGGTGCTTGCCTTGGGGGTGGAGGGTGCTTCCTAGCCAGCTCTGTCGTCTCTTGCCACTTCTCCCAGAAGTGTACCTTTCCTCCCGGAAGAGCTGGTGGCCCTGCATTAGCAACACTCTGCCTGCCCATGTGTAGCCATCCCTCCACTTACCCACTCAGCAGGTGCTTATCAAGTGTCTTGCTCTTGCTTGAGACTCTTCCTTCCAAGAGAGCGCCTGGCTGCTGCGCACAGTTCTATGCTTACATGTTACCTGAAAGATTGGCAGTTTGGACCCAGCCTAGAGTGCCCTGGAAGAAGATAAGCCACTGAAAACCCAGCCCTGTCAAGCAGATTTCTACCCAGGCACACTGTCACCCCGCCCCACCCCCACCCCCACCTCTGCCACTCACCACCACTCAGTGCCAACTGGTCTGCTATATGAGTTATTCCCTGGAGGTTATACGATCTCTTCCCTTGCCCTCTTATATCACTCTTCTTTTTTGCTTATTTTGACATGTGTTTTGGCTTAGTTTTGACTTGTTTTAGTAGCTCTAGGGAATGCGTACACGTGATAAAATGCCTCATCAGCTGTGGCGGGGATGTCAGTTCCCTCACCCACATCCTCAGTGCCTTCTCGAGATCGTCTTTGCATAGTGGACAGTGCATGTGCATTGTCAGCGCCTCATTCCCAATGGAGACAGCCAGCCAGAGACAAGGATGGCGAGACTTCAGCGTACATGCTTTGGACGTGTCGGGAGAGATGATGAGTCCCCAGAAAAGGACCTCCTGCTTGGTACAGGAGTGGGGCAGCGAAAAAGAGGCAGGCCCCGAGGCATTGGACTGACACCGGGGCTCAAGCACAGGAACAACTGTGAGGCTGGTGCTGGACCGAGCATGTTTCCTTCTGTGCTGCGCAGAACTGACTGGTGGCACCTAACAATAACAGCAGCATTTGACGTGACTTTGTTCTGAGCTCTCAGACTAAACAGTGTTTCGAACCCTTCCGTGGAGTCGTTCCTGAGATGGAGCTCTGGCTCTCCCAAGCCCTGGCCCTGCCCGCTCTGGTCCCTTGGCAGAAAGTTTATGTTGTCTGGCCTTGTCAAAAGTACTTCGGCGGTGAGGGGTGGGCCACCTGGGCCTGCTGCCTGCCTGGCTCTCTGCAGACTGTGACTGGGGGCTGGGCGCCTTCTGGCTGTGCCTGAGAGCAGAGCAGGAGCCCCACACCACCCCGCTCCCCTGCCTGCTAGCCCCAGGACCCATGGTGTCCGTCCCATGCCAGTGAAGCAGAAAGTGTCGCATGTGAGATTCGTCAGCAGTTGTCATCTGAAACAAACGTCACTTTTGTGAGTGGGTCCTGTGACAATGGCACACAGAAGGACGGGGAACACACTCGTCCATCCACAGGCACACGTACACACACACCACCACCACACTACCCCTCCCCTCCCCACCCCGAGGCAAGGGCTGCTCTTATTTCCCGACTTCTCCCTGGACCCCACGCAGTAAGCGTGGAACTGCCCCCACACAGGCTGTGAGAAGGAAGAGTTCAGAAGGTACTGGGTGGGCCCAGCTCAGCCCTGGGTTGGGCGGTTCCCAGTGGGCTCATTGGCAGCAGACTGGGGCAGAGAGCCCAGCCTCTTCAAACCCTGGCAGGAAAGAATGTCTGTGGCATGCTGAGGCCGGAGCACACACAGTTGGACATCAGGGAATCAGATGGAAACACTCATTCCCATCCGTGTTTAAAACCAGGGGCCCTTGATTGGTCGGGTGACTCATGCATGGCCCCCAAGTTACTTACATGAAGAAGCTGACTGCTGGCTGTCTGGGGCCTCCCTGCTGGCAGAAGGTCCAGGGCTGCAGGCAGGGTGTTGCTGAAGTCCCTGGAGCCCTGCTTGAGGCCTGCTTCCCATATGGGCATGACAACCCCGGCAAGGCCAGGGCCTTGGGGGGGGGGGGGTCTTTGGGGAGGGTGTCTCATGGGCCAAGGACGGGTCGTTTGCTCTCTGGCACACTAGCTTGTTGACTCTGGCTCTTTGCACTGTTTTGACCTCCAGGTTCTCAGCCAGGCTGTTTGCAGAAAGGGCAGCCCGTGAACCCACTGTGAGAGAGAGGGTTCATTGCCTTGGTGTGTTCAGTGCTGAGCGGGCCCCAGCGGCCTTTCCATGCTCAGCCCTTCCACACCCCACAGGCCTTTACTGCAGGCTCCAGAGCCACCTGTTCGCTCCCTAGATGGGCAGCCGTCATTGTCCAGCGCGGCTAGAATGCTGGAAGTGGGTGACGTGAAAACAGGAATTTATTTTCTTCCTCTGCTGCTGGCTGTCAGTCCACACCAGGGTTGGGGTCCTCTCAGTAGCCCTGGGAATTCCTTGGTTCCTTGTAGGGATCCCTGGCAGCTCAAAAGCGTTGGGCTGCTGCCTGCATCTGCGTGGTCCGCAGCTGAGGCCCCTCACTGTTGCTCTGAAGGCGTGTCTAGTCCTATAAAGATCGAGTCCTGGGAACCCCAGGAGCAGCCCTGCCGCATCTCAACAGGGTCACTCTGTCTGTTGTCATTAACAACTAAGAAACCAGGTTATCGCGTTTCTGACAGTTATACAATCGGGCAGTGCTGACAAACAAAAGTAGAAGTCGTGTGCTACTCACACAAACAGGGTGCACCCACGGGTAAGGGCTAGAGTTCCAGCATAGCTTCGGGCCTCAGCCTGTGCTTTCTTGCCTCGGAACCTTGCCTTCAGCACCCCCCTCCGGCCCTTTGCCCTCTCTCCAAACCCAGGCCCCTGCCTTCTCTTCTGAGCCCCTTTCCTTGCCCGCCCGAGGTGGGTAGTCTTCTCTCCTCCCTCCTCTATGTTGTTTGCATGCCTGCCATTGGGGACCTTGAAGCACGTTTCCCACTCCACGTAGAGTTGCCCTTAGCTCGTTCTTGAGCCTCTGCGTTAGTCCGGGTAGAATAAGAGAACCAAATCCAGGGAGACTTGTGTATAAGAAAGAGCTTTATATAAAAGAGTAATTTTATATTGAGAAACAGCCCAGTCCAGAAAACAGCCGAGTCCAGATCAAGTCCGTAAGTCCAATATTAGCCCATATGTCCAATAGTCCATAAATTCCTCTTTAGACTCATGCAGTAATGCTGAATGCAGGAAGATCACAGGCCAGTGCGTGGAAAGACTTGTGGATCCAGTGGCGGTAGAGGCATCTCAGCACTGACATGGGTCTCTACATGGCTCCTCCAACTCCAGGGCTCTGGCTACATCAGCGTAGCTCCATCAGGCTCATTATTGTCAGGAATGTCTTGCATGGAGTGAGTGTCCCGCCTCCAGGGAGCTATTTATCTCCTTAATCCCTCTAAATGAGGTCATCAAACTGCAACCTGATTGACAGGCTAAACCCCACCCCTTCGCTCTAAATCTCAAATTGATAACAGATTATGTAACTACCACAACCTCTCTGCCCATAAGTCTCCACCACGTGCCGTCATGTGCAGGAAGATTAAGCAGAAGTTCTAGTTCTGTTCCTTAGCCTCGCCCTCTCACTGTGGCATGGGCACTGCTGCCAGGCATCTTGGGGCCCCTGGCATGGGGGCCTCTGCAGCGCTGTGCTCTATAGCTTGCCGAGCCTGGCCCTCCCTCGTTTCTCTACCTAGCTCGATGACCTGTACCTGATTGCCATCTGCCACCGCCGAGGCATCAAGTCACTGCGGGACCTCACTCCAGAGCACCTGCCTCTGCTTAGGAACATCCTCCGGGAGGGTCAGGTGAGTGACCTTGGTGGGACCCAAGCCTGGGGAATTGCACTCAGATTCCAGGATGTTCCCTGGGCCTCTTTCTCCGTCCTTCTCTGAAGTCATCCTGAGAAAGGCTGCTCTCTTCACGTGCCGGTTACCGGGACCCTCCATAAAGGCCCTTCCAGTTGGCGAGCAAGGCCCTCCGTCGTCTGCCCTCTCTCCAAACCCAGGCCCCAGCCACCTCCTTCAGTTGCCTTTCCTTACCTCACAGGCGCCATCACCACTAGGGGCGTGTGGACGCTGAGTTTGCCTCCCTGCCTTTCCCTGCAGATCCCCCAGCCCCTGGACCCCTTCTCGTCTCCTCCATCCCACAGTCCAGCGCCCTGGCCCCTCCCTGCGACTCTCAGGGTGGTTTCCTCTCTGGCTTCTAACCATAGGCTACCTGCCCCTCTCATCACAACCACATCTGTCTTCCGTTAATGTGTGTACCACATGAATGGGGGATTCCATTCTCTGAGTCTCCCATTGGTTCATGGCCTTTGTAAAGTCCCCTGGCATACCTGTGGTGTCTCATCACCTCATCTAGACTGAGGGCTAAGACCAGATTCTTGGGTACCTGGAGTTCTGTGGTACTTTCTGTCTGGGTGAAAACAGGGGAACTAAACGGAGTTGTGGGTGGGAAAGTATAGGAGAAGGGAGTCTTGGGATGTGGTCCTACTCTGACCTTTCAACTTGGCTAGCAAATTTTCCTTGGGCCAGCCCCTCGCCCCTCTGGGCCTCAGTGTGTGTATCAGTCTCACTGCTGACCCTGCTCACCTGTGGGCTTGATTCCCGGCCCTTTTCTCACCCTACAACCTTTCAAGATGCTGCCTCTGAGTGACCAGGACCAGCTGCCACAGGGGTGCCCCACAAGAGGGGAGGTGAACCTCTCCCTCTTGACAGCTGCTGTGCCCAGGCTTTACTGCAGACCCAGGGAACAGGCATCGGCTGGCCTTGGTTCCCACCCTGGGCCTGGGCCCTCACCCCTCTCCCACCTCCTCCCTGCAGCTATCCACTCCCCCTGCATGCCACACCATCCGTTGTCTCTCTGGCTGCCTCTGTCTTTTACATGTAGCTTTTTTTCCCTTTTTTTAAAAATCATGACATTGGCCCTAGATCCCATGGATGGCAGAACACCCTGTCACCCCTCTCGGGAGAGGTGGACCAATCCTGGCAGCTCAGGCATCTTCACCCTGTAGCAGACAGCCTTGTGGGAGGCTTTGGTGGAGAACATGCTTCTAGGGTGAATTCTGAGCTCCCTGAGCCTCTCGTCTCTCTGTTCTCCTGACCTCCGGGATTTGCTCACAGTGGAAACCAGCGTCTGCCTTCCCTTTGTGCCCAGCCTGGGGCAACAGGGCCCGAGGAAATGCTTTCCTCCTGCTTCTGCTTCCCGACATCTGTCCGGCAGTCCTGGGTGGGACAAAAGGAACACACTTGCTGTGAACCAAAAGGCTGAAGATTTGAGTCCACCCAGAGGCACCTCAGAAGCAAGGTCTGGCGATCTGCTTCCCAAAGGTCACCCAGTCACCGAGAACCCTGTGGACTTCAGTTCTACTCTTAACACTCTTTGGCCAGGAGTCAGGGTCCTCTGTTTGCAACTGGTGTTTAGATGTTTTCAAGGTATCCTCTCCCCATGAGCCCCTCCTTTCCTCCATGGCCCTGGCTCAGCCCCTTTGCCAGTGTCTCCAAGCTCTACCTGGTTCCCACCTGCTTAGTACGCCTGGTGGAGCAGTGAGCCCAGTGCTGGGCTGCGAACCACAAAACTGGCACCAAACTAAAACACCAGAAGGGGTTTCAGAAACCTAACACAGCATGGCTGAGTCAGCATCCAAGTGGTGGCAGGGGGTTGGCCTGGGCTTCCATCCAGGGGGAGGATAGTCCACACCGGGGCCCCTAGTCAAGGAGCACATGCTGCGGCCCCTGCGCTTGTAGTCCTCCAGGGGAAGGCAGGGCCAAACACAATGGACCCAGTGCCTGGGGGCCTCCTAACAGGTGTGCATTCAAATCCATGGTAACCCATGTGTGCCAAGGATGGCTCCATGTGATTTCCAAGGCTGGGGCTCTTCAGAATCTGCCCACCTGGCCAGGCGCCTCTGGGTGAGCTGAACTGCCAGCTGTTTGCCGTGGGAGCCACACAGCTTCCTGGGGGCGTGCCCATCCAGGATACGCTGGAAGGGCATGGCCCAGCACAATCACCCTTTTACTTGTTTTCCAGTTTTATTGGCACATATGAGTAATTCACACCTCACATAATAGTTCAGTCACATTAAGGAGTTATACAATCGTCTCCACAATCCGTTCTAGAACATTGGCATCATTCTTGTACTCATCTTTGTTAGCTCCCCATTTCCCCCTCCTCCCCTGCCACACCTCACGGAACCATTAATCCAGCTATTGTCTCTCTAGATTTACCTATCTGGGATTTCAAATCTAGAAAAACAGTGGTGGGGGTGGTAAAAGAGCGCTGATGTCAAGGAGTTCAAGAAGGAAAAGCATGTCTTGAATCCGATAGTGGTAGCAGTTGTACAGTACTGCTTGAGGTGATTGAACTATGGGATGACATGTCTGTATTATGATGGTTTGAGGGGGGGCATTCAAAACAAAACAAAAAACTAACAACAGCAACAAAGTAGAACAGATTGAAAACCTCAATCAAAAAGGAAGCAGAAAATACTAAAAACTAGAACAAGTTTAAAAGGGATCATCACTCTCAAACTCATTGTCATGGAGTCAGTACTGACTGGCAGCCACACCCTGTGGGTCTCTGAGAGACTGTAACTGTTTAAGGGAGTAGAAAGCCCAGTGTTTCTTCCAAGGAGCTGCTGGTGGCTTCGACCTACCGACCATGAGGATCGCAGCCCAACTCGTAACCACTATGCCACCAGGGCTCCTAACATGGATCCTAAGGGATATCAAATGGTGTAAGGTGTGAAACTCTAGCCTAAGTGCATCTGTAGTAATGTACTTTCCAGTGCCCTCTGCATGGAGTGAGCCTGTTCTCACCTCTAAACTGACCGTTCTCTGTGCCCATCCCTTCCTCCCTAGGAAGCCATCCTACAGCGCTACCAGGTGGCCGGGGACCGCCTCCGGGTGTACTTGCACTACCTGCCCTCCTACTACCACCTGCACGTGCATTTCACCGCGCTGGGCTTTGAGGCCCCCGGCTCAGGGGTGGAGAGGGCGCATCTGCTGGCAGAAGTGATTGAAAACCTGGAATGTGACCCAAAGCACTATCAGGAACGCACCCTCACCTTTGCCCTCAGGACCGAGGACCCCCTGCTCCAGCTGTTGCAGGCGGCCCAGGGGCGCTGAGTGGACTTAGGAGTTGTCCGGGGAGCATAGAGGAGGGGGCTGGGGTGGGGGCAGGGAAGCAGCCTTTGTTTCACTTTGTGAAAATTTTTTAAAATGTGTTTCGTACTAGCTTATTCCTACGATTCGAATAAAGCATTGGGGCCGCTAGGTGTGGACTGATTCTTCCAGGGAAGTGAATGGTGCGGGCAGAGCCCGGAGGAAAGCCTTCGTGGTGGAGCGGGGAAGTCCTGGGTGGTTTCGCTGACGTGGGATGACTGCCCCACGCACACTCGGGGGTTCTGAATCCCTAAGGTCACACTGTCCTTTGCTGATTTCGTTTCCCTTCATCGACTGTGCTGCTTCTTGTTTGCATGCCTTCCTGTTCTGCCCGTGCAGACACCCTCCTTCCCATTTTCTGCACCTCCCATGTGTCCGGAAGTTCCCCCCCAACTACCAAGTCAGAAACCTTTAGCTAGCTGGTTTTCACAGTGTTTTGGCTGCTCCTTTCCCTTTCTCGCATCTGTGGGAGGCCACGCCCCCCACGTGTGAGTCATCCTTCTCAATAAACTTGTTGACGAGGATGGAGGGCTGATGTCTGGAAGTGGGAGGGTTTAATAAGAATCAGATGATGCATGCTCTGCCTGCGCCACTGTTATTTAGGCAGCCAGCTCCTATCCTTGAATTCGTTATCTAGGCAGGAAGACAAAACAAATTCCCAGGGAGCAGCCTGGAGAGCACGCACAAGACCCTCTGTCCACGGGCCAGAATGATAAGGCTGGGGCGGGGCGCTCCGCTTCCAGGAATGGTCAGGCCCCGGGTCCTTGGCCGCAGAACGTGGAGCCCAGGGCAGAGCTCTCAGTGGCCTGTTAGGGAACTGTCAGGGGGTGACCTGGAAAAGACAACTCCTACCCTGTCTCCAGCAGAGCAGGGACACGGCAGACATATGGAACGAGGGTAGCTGGAGGGAGTCTACTCAAGGTGCCTTGGAAGAAAGTCCTGGTGGTCTACTTGCCAAAAATAAAAAATCAGTTATTAAAAACCCTGTGGAGCACAGTTCTACCCTGACCCGACTGTGGGCTTTAGATCTTTCCAGCACTGGGCGCAGATGTGTCATGCTGCCAGAGAAGGCGCTGGTCTTTGGTACTGAGCCCACATCAGACTTCGGAAGAAATAAGCCAGGCCTGGAGCATTCCCCTCCGACTCTGGTCAGTCCACTGAGGTATTGGGCACAGGGACCCACCCAGTGCACCCCCAGGACGTGGCTGGGCTGCCACCGGCCTCCCTAAGGAGAGCAAGGGGTGGAGTGTGAGGAGCCTGAAGGGGACTCAGAAGATAACCCAAAGGGGCTGCCACCGCTTCAGCGTCCACCAGGTGACCTCTGTGTACCTCCTGGATACGTGCTGGGTGATGCTCAGTGAAAGCGTCTGCCAGGCTTTGTGAATGGGTTGGATAGTGGCCCCCAAAAGATATGCTAGAGCCCTACCCCTGGTCCCTGTGAACATGGCCTTGTTTGGAAAGAGAGTCTTGGAAGAGATTCGATCTACTCAGTTACATCCTATTGGAGAAGGGTGGAACCTGATCTTAATACGAGTGTGTCCTTAGAAAGGAGAGACGAAGAGTCAGGCTGCCACAACCCAATGAGTGCCTGGATCTCCCCAGTCCTGAGAGACTCGGGGAGAGACCTCAGAGAGAGTGTGGTCCTGCCAACACCCCAGCTCCAGAACTGGGAGAAAATACGTTTGAGTCCCTGCCCAGTGTGTGCTACTTTGTTGCAGCCGATACAAAACTCCCGAACACTCTGGTGAACTGAAGCTCGGGAGTGGATTGTAAGGGCTCCTACTCACAGAAGTAGCTGGGGGCAGCTCCTTCATCCTGTACCACCCCCAGGATTATTGTGCACTGGACCATGTGGTCCCTTGCATCCTCATTGCTTGGTTTGGGGAAGTAGATTCCCAACCCTTCCTAGTCCGTCCTAGTCAAGCTGCGCTGAGACCTGGTCAGCAGTACACTTGCACACAATCCTCTACTGACAGGCAGGTCAGTGGTGGCAGCACAGGACATCTATTGGCCAAGAATCAAACCTGGGTCTCCCATAGGAGAGGTGAGAATTCTGCCGCTGAGCCACCATGCCTCTTCCTACAGGTGATTGGTGGGGGTGGCAGGTGGATTACAATTCACAGTGACCCTCATGTTCAACAGAACATGGGGGGGGTGGGAGGAGCTGATCCGAAGGGCTCAATAGAAACTAAATGTCCAGAAAAGAACGATGGCAACATATGTACAAATATGCCTGATACAACTGATGTATGGATTGTAATAAGTTGTAAGAGCCCCCCAATAAAATGTTATTTTAATTTAAAAAAGACAAAAACAGAACATTGGGACATCTTAAAAATCATTATGCTGCAGCCACTATGATAGTCCATCTCATTGATCTGCTTCCAAACGTCATGTCCTCCGGATAACATGTCCAAAGTACATGAGACGAAGTCACAACACCCCGAGTTCTCAAGAGCATTGTAGCTGTGTAGCTCCCAAGACACACTTGTCCTCTCTTCTGGCAGCCCGTGCTGCACATACTCAATATTGTTCGCCAACGCCATAATCCAGAGGCCTCCATTCGCATGGCCCAGGGACTGGGTCGGCCGTACCTCAGTCCTGAACGTGACATGTTTAACGTTCACATATCTGTCGTTCACAGCGGAATTCCACACCAATATGTTCTTTGACTTCTCGCCTGCGTCTTCCCTCAACGTTGATTACAGACCCAAGTGAAATGAAGTCCTTGACCACGCCAGTCTTTCCTCCATCACGGTGTTGCTTGTGGGCACAATTGTGAGGATTTCTGTTCTCTTTGCACTGAGGTGTGAGCCACACTGAAAGCTGTAGCTTTTGATACAGTCCTCAGTCCAGTACGTGCTTCAGGTCCTCTTCACGCTGAACAAACAAGGGTGCGTCATCTGCACACGGAAGGTTGTTAATGAGCCTTCCTCTAATGCATAGTCTTCATGGAGTCCAGCTCCACAGATCATTTGCTCAGCGTAGGGATTGGATCAGTATGGTGAAAGGATACAAGCCAGACGCACACCTTTCCTGATTTTAAGCCATGCAGTAGCCCCTTGTTCTGAATTCCCATTCTTCACAATGTTATACTCCAAACAGCCTTTGCATGGTCAGTAAACACAGGTAAACAAACATCTTTCTGCTATTTTCTTGACTTCGAGTCAAGATCCATCTGATGTCAGCAATGATAAGCCTCATTCCATATCTTCTTTTGAATCCAGTTGGAATTTCTGACAGTTCCCTGAACAATGTATTGCTGCAGCCATTTTAAAATTATCTTCAGCAAAACTTTACGTGCATGTATTAATATTGTTTGATGATTTCCACATTCTGTTGGGTCCCCTTTCTTTGGAATGGCACAAATAAGGTTACTTTCCAATCAGTTAGCCAGGTAGCTGTCTTCCAAATTTCTTGGCAAAGACTTGTGGGCCTCCCGCACTGCTTCAGTTTGTTGAAACATTTCGAGTGGTATTCTGCAAATTCTAGGAACCTTGTTTTGCCAATGCCCGCAGTGCAGCTTGGACTTCTACTTTACATAACATTGGCTCTTGATCATATATTACCTCTTGAAATGGTCCAATGTTGGCCCATTCTTTTGGATACAGTAACTGTGCACTCCTTGAACCCTTTTGTAACATTTCCTACACCTTGTGATTTTCTGCTGCTATCGTTGTTAGGAGCTGTCGAGTCAGCTCCGACTCATGGCCCCCCTGACGTACAACAGAATGAAGCACTGTCTGGGCCTGTGCCAGCTCCACAATCGTTCTGTGTGAGCCACTGTGTCATTCCATCTTGTCAAGGGCCTTCGCTTTGCTGCCCCTCTCCTTGATGATGCTTGGTAACTGCCCACAGAATCCTTCAGCATTACAACAGGAGGATTGACGTTTTCTCTCTTTTTTTCAGCGTGCAAAATGCCAAACAACCACATTCTCCCTTTTGGCTTTCCAGCGCTAGGTCTGGCACACTTCGTTTGAATGCTTTCCTTTGCCTTCCCAAGCTGACCTTTGACATTTTCCGTCCAGTTCTCTTGCCTTCATCACCTCTTCCATCTGCTTTGGCTTCTCTACATCCCAGCGCCAGTTTCAGAGTCCCTTGCGACACCCATTTTGGTATCTCCTTGTCTTTTGCTTTCTTCAGCTCACCTGGTCTCGGGTCATTCGTGTTCAGTATGTCCAGCTGTTCTGGAGACAGAAGGTCTCTCGATCCGGGTGGGGGCTAGTCATGGTTGTGGTTTGGTGGTCTTGATTTCTTAAAGAGTTTTACAGGCGCTTCATGCACATAGCACACAAGTTCAGTCACACCCAGAGGAGCTGTGCAGTCTTCACCACAGTAAACTTTAGAACATTGTCTTTTCCGGGTTCTCACTGTTCATGCATTCTTTTCAGCTGTGGCAAAAACATACTCAGCAAAGCATCCTCCAATTCCACAACTTCTACGTGTGTCATTCAGTGCCATTGACTGTACTCTTCCTGTTGTACACTGTTATTGATACCCCTTTCCAAACGGTCCCACCACTATTCAAGTGAACTCCACGCCTATGGTTTTGTCTTCATTTTCTGCAGCTTCAACTTGAACTTGTACACAAGTGATCGCTGGCGTGGTCTGTATTGAGCCCCTGACCTTATTCTGACGGGTCATTTTGAGCCAATCCAGAGTCTCTTTCTACAGATGTAGTTGCGTTTGATTCTTGTGTATTCCAGCTAATGAGGTCTATGTGTACAGTGGGAATTTTGTTTCAAAGGGATATTTGCCATTAGGAAGTCATTGGTCTTGTAAAAACCAATCTTGCAATCATTAGCACCTTTTCTATCACCAAAGCCTTATTTTCCAACTACCGATCCTCTTTCTTTTCAACTTGGAAACCTTCCCATCATCAGTTTGGGCATCTTGATTGCATGTTTAATTCATTTCAGACTGTATTTAAAACAAAGCAAAACCTCTCTGCCATTGAGTCAATGCCAACTCAGAGCTCTCCTGCAGGACAGAGTCGAACTGCCCCTCGAACTTCCAAGACTGGGAAGTCTTTATGGAAGTAGAAGGTCTCGTCTGTTTCCAGCATCAGACTGTGGACGTGTTAGAAATCTTCAATTTCTTCATCTTTGCCT